ATTTTCAGCGGAATCATTTAAAATTCGGTTTGTAGAGTTTTAATGGATTCTGAATTCTGGACTGCTGGAAAATACAAATTGTTTTCATTATCGATCTAAGGCGGTACCTCCGAGTATTTGGTATTTTGGTGATTTTAGCCACATTTTTTCTTTTTACAGATTTTAATTTTATTTTGAAACTCGCAATTGATGAAGATCACTCAGCAGAGAACCGGTAACATTGACTTTACGGCATTAGCATTAAAACTTTTTACCAAGTGATTTTACTAGCAAAACTCAATACTCAATCCCGGTTCTTTATTTTAAAGATTTTTTTTTTTATCTCATGGTGGAGACAATTTAAAGTTAGACCCGGCCAAACCTAACGCGTTTTTATACCCTCCACCGTTGTTTGTAACATCTCGACATATACTTCTATAGACTCCACAAAGGATATATTAATCTTGATACAGCATAAAATTCATATGTCAATTTAGGCATGTCCGTACCGTCTTCCACTTCAGATTCCGAACGAAATGAAGTAGCTTTTAAACGAATTTTACTCAAATGTGTGTAAGGTCTCCAGGACTTTTGGTTAGTTGAAAACATAGTCCATAGGTCCACGTTCCCTTGTATGGTCCCAAGATAACTTTGCCTACAGATGTTTTAATCAAAATTTTTAACCCGATATAAAAACAGTAAGACAAAGTCTTACAGTCCGAGCGGGGCCGACACCTTGAATACACCTACCAACACTCATAATAAACGATACAGGTTGTATAAGTGGAGATACTCGAAAGAATTTCACAAGATATTGTGACAAATAATAAAAGAAAAACCATCAGGTTTTCGTTCTCTAATTTTCGAATAATAGCAACTTAAACTAATTTGCTCATTTCCAATTTATTGGTAGTGTTGCACGTAAATGGTCTTCCTATGATCTGGAACCAATATTTCGCAAGACCTATAATCTTCTCTGAATTGGCAAAAGATTAACATTTATTAGTGGTTGTTGTGACTAAAATGCATCTATATGAGATACAGACATTTGACTACATTCTTCAACGAAATCAGCGTTAACGAATAGTCAGAAGTGCGTTCTTTCCTGTATTTGTGAATTCTCCTAAGTCACTGGAATGGACATTTTTGTATTTTGTCTACAAAAGTTAGCAAACTATTTCACACATTGAATATTTTTGGATGGTCATTCCAAAATGCTTGGCTTTGCAAGTCCGGTAACCCCCATTAAATATGCGTGAGGATCGGGCAATAATTACGACCGGCTGACAATTTTGCAGTTTTTGGTTCATTTCAACCCCTAAATATATGGCGATCATCTCCAAAAAGAGTAGGCCTCTATTCTGACCCTCATCTTATCCCCATGCAAAATTTCGTAAGGATCGGGCCATAATTGCGACCTGTAGCGTGTTTACAAATTAACATGGACAGACGGACGGACGGACATACATAGCTAGATCGACTCAGCTCGGCGATCTAGGAAGATCCATATATACTTCCTATATGGGAAACCAATGTTTCGAGGTGTTACATAAATTCTGGCCCAATCAAAACTTATAATACCCCCAACACATAGTGTTGTAGGGTATAAACATGCTTGCATTGAACTGTATAGCCCCTATATAACTATACCTCCACATATTCGGTATGTTGGTGATTTGTGTCACACTTTCATGTTGTTAAAGTGTTTCATATTTGGAATTTGAAGTGAAGCGAAGCCTTTGCAGGTCCACGTCTTCGTACAGCTTTCATAACGGTATTCGTGATTTTAGCGACATTACTCACCGGAATTGTATGAATCCCGTATTTGAAGTTCCGTCTGTGACACATAACTGCCAATACATAGCCTCCATATAACGATACCTCCCTACATTCGGTATTTTGGGGATATTAGCGGCATTATCACCGGAATTGTTTAAATTTTCGTATGTAGGGAGTTGACGTTATATTGGCGATATCCAAGAGAATACAATGGCACATTACTAGATTCGGTATTTTATGATTTCAACGATGTCCCGTCTCTCTTGTTGTTTGTTGAAGTCACGATACAGCCAACATTATTTGACGTACAGCTTAAAAATTTGGCAGAACAACGTGCATTGCGTCTAGGATGGTTGGAATTGAAACTGAAATATATCGATCTACCCCCATATAACGGTACCTTCCGATATTCGGTATTTTGATAATTTTGTCACACTTTTCCACGGACTTGTCTAAAAATTGGTATTTGTATTTCATAATGGATTATAATTCTGGTGGCGGAACAGTGTATGTATAGGTCTACGGATTTGCCCCATATAACGGTTCTCCCAAAATTCGGTATTTTGATTATTTTTGCCACAATTTTCCACGGATTTGTCTGAAAATAGGTTTTTGATGTTCGTAATGGGTTCTAGCTCCGCGTTTTCGTCGTAACGTGTTCAAATGTGGCAGTTAAGAAGATTTATTAGATAGTAATCCTTGAAGTATAAAATTGTCGATATAGGTTCCCGTTTTGATATGGCTCCCATATAACGGCTTCTCCCACTCTTGATTTTTTGAAGAGTTTAATAGCATTATCCAACGGTCTTAGTATTAGTTTAAAGTGCAACACGTTTGACACGTTTACCCAAAGATAGATGGTTTCAAAAGTTCGGATGGTTTTAAAGTTCGGCCTGGCCTTGTTGTACCAAATTCCGTTACACATTTCAAATTTGAAGACTGTATCTATAACCATTCAATTGATATGTGCATACAAAATCTAATTTTTTATGGAGATATCTCCGATGCTGATGCTATATCTCGAGTTCCAAGTGGAATTTCAAAAAAATTATATAGCCTATGTTAGTTTCAGGTTATGATGTAGTATATTGTTAAGCAGTTTTTATACCCTCCACCAAAAAGTATGGAGGGTACATTAAGTTCGTCATTCCGTTTATAACTCATCGAAATAATCATTTTAGACCCAACAAGTGTATATATTCTTGACCTGAATGACCTGACGGACCTGTCCGTCCGTCTGTCCGTCTGTTGTAATCACGCTACAGTCAAAACGAATTAAGATAGAAAGCTAAAATTTTGCACAGATCCCTCTTTTGTCTGCAGGCAGGTCAAATTCGAAGATGAGCTATATCGGTCCACGATATCGTATAGCCCCCATATAACGGTACCCCCCCGATATTCGGTATTTTGATGATTTTAGCCACATATTCTAATGGAATAGTCTGAAAATTCACACAAAGAGTTCTCTGTGAGCACTTTACTTCCTGACAGTGAATTGTCTATATAGCTCCACGATATCGAATAGCCCCCATATAACGGTACCCCCCGATATCCGGCACTTTTATGATTTTAGACACATTTTCCAATGGAATGGTCTGAAAATCCACACAAGGCGTTCCTCGTGAGTACTTTATCCCTTGAAAGAGAATTATTTATATAGGTTTGATGATTTTAGCCACATTTTCCAATGGAATGGTCTGAAAATCCACACTAGGAGTTCTTTGTGAGCACTTTATTCCCTAAAGGAGAATTGTCTATATAGGTCCACGATATCGTATAGCCCCCATATAACGGTACCCCCCGATATCCGGTATTTTTATGATTTTAGCCACATTTTCCAATTGAATGGTCTGAAAATCCACACAAAGAGTTCCTCGTGAGTACATTATCCCTTGAAAGAGAATTATTAATATAGGTTTTGATGATTTTAACCACATTTTCCAATGGACTTATCTGAAAATCCACACAAGGAGTTCCTTGTGAGTATTTTACCCCCAGACATAGATTTGTGTATATAGGTCCACAATATCGTATATCCCCCCTATATGTCGGCACCTTCCGATATTAGGTAATTTTAACAGAATTTTTAATGCAATTTTTTTCTTTGAAAATTTCTAATTCGTTCCAAATGGTGGATTGTATTCAAAGTCGGCCCGGCCGAACTTACTGCTTTTTACTTGTTCAGTCTATAAATTACAAACAACCTACAAATATTTTCATCTCTTAGAAGAAGATAGAATAATGAGGCAAATGGTATTCATTTAGGTCGATCCCTTTAAATTTGGAATGATTACAACAGCCAAAATGTGCCTAATCGAATTAACGTTCTTAGACCCTGGGTGGTAATGGAAGAAATTCGACTTCGAATATTTTTTTTTCTATGTTGAAGCAAGTGTGAAAAGGTAATACATCGGACCACTCTCTTTGGTTGATCTTTGTCTTTGGCTACATTGATATTTGATTTCGAAGGTAATTTTGTAATGCTCTCAGCTAACAAATTGTCACTTGTTGTTTTAAGCTTTTGTACAACAGCACTTGCTGTTACCTTTTATTCTTATACCATGAATGAAATAATAATTTTCTTGAATTCCCCATAAACCCATTTCCTAAATTTCGATCCAAACCAATACACAAATATCTTGTTCTTTTCGTTAAGTTAAAGAGGATTAGTTATCCTGCAATTAAATTTTTTTTAAACTTTCCACTGCTATAGCGTCATACGTATGGGGATATTAAAAATTGTGATTTACTTTAAATACATATGTCGATGTGTTTCTATAAATAATACTTCCTCAAATAGGCACGTAACATCTAATCCTAGACGACTATGCCCGGTTAAGTGTCGTGACAGAAATAATAATAAATAGCCCTTGATTGAAGTGTACCGAAGGCAGTCATCAACATTGGTTCGATTCGATAAGTTATCGTTGTCTCTTAGGAAGTTCGTGTGTGATTTGATTTCCATTTTTGTTGTTTCAACTTGTCGGATTAGTGTCGTGTCTTCCTTTCTTTTTAAATCTCAATCAATAAACTTAAATAAAACAATTAAAAAATAATAAAAATGAATTTGATTTTGATGATGACTTTAATTTCATTGCAAACTGTGCAATGCCGAACATATTCTAATGATAACCATGGGTGGTACGAAATCTCATAAATACCATTTTGGGAATTGGCCAAAGGACTTATCAAAAGTAAGTGCATAATCAGCATCGTATCTTTCCTGGTGGTGTTCATTCATTATGTTCTGTCCTTTTTTGTTCTGGGAAAACAAAAGGGGACACCATGTTACTTTCCTCAGTGGATTCAAAGCTGATTTTCACATTGATGGCCTCAAGGAAATCACACCATTGCATTTGGTCCATTACATCCAGAACTACACAGATTGGGATTTGGTGGGAGCACGTTATGCCCACAAAACTCCAGTGCCGCTTTGGCAGGCACTACGGTATCCAGCCGAGGTAATTTTCATATGTGTCTGATGTTTTATTGTCGTTGTACTCGTAGTTGTTGGTTGAATGTTCTCCCCGAAATAGTCCTTCTTTTGTCCACTGCATGTCTGTTTAGGGCAGTGGACATTATTGCCTGTTGTCGTTACAAAAATAATTGCTTTGTTCCGATTTCTATTGGTTAGAGCGCGAGAGAGAGAGCAGAGGGAGATAGAAGGAGGAGAGTTGATAAAGAATTTAACATGGTAATTTGTTGTACGTTGATATTTGAATCACTGTGTTCTTTTTCAATCCTTTTGCATAGGCGATGACTTTTAAATCCTTCAAAAATTGCATGTTTTAAAAACAGGTTGAGAAATCGGCAAGGATGGCGAACACTATCTTTAAAACAAGTAAAAACACATTAGGTTCGGCCGGTCCGAACAGTTTATACTCTTCACCATTGGGTAAAGAAAACATTTTTATATAAAAAGTATCTGAATTCAAACGTGTTCCACTTTAAACTACAAATACCAGTAAGACCGTTTGGATGGTGCAGTTAAGCTCTTTTTTTTTTAACATAAAGTGGGTGATGCCGTTATATAGGGGCCATACAAAAATGGGAACCTCTATAGACAATTTTCATGGGTCAATATGACTTGGATTATCAAATACCGAATATCGGTGGGTATCGTTATATGTTCGCTATAGGAAAACGTGGACCAAAATATTCAATGTTCTGCCACCGGAGCTAGAACCCATTATGGTCTACAAATACCAATTTTTAGACAAATCCATGTACAAATGTGGCATAAGTCATCAAAACACCGAATATCGGCGGATACCGTTATATGGGGGATATACCAAAACGTAGATCTATACAAAAAATGTTTAGCCACCGGAGCTGGAACACAGTATGACCAGCAAATACCATTTTTTAGACAAATCCGTGAAAAATGTGGCAAAAATTATCGAAATACCGAATATTGAGGGGTACCGTTATATGGGGGCTATACCAAAACGTGGTATCTCATGTGCATACCAATCAATAGTCTTGTCTCTGTTTGAAATTCTATTTTTTGCTAATGGAATTATGTTATATAGATAAATATGGACTTATTTTAAAGTTTCAATGTTCAGTCATTTTGTATGGGCGTTGATGAGTCAGACAGTCTGCGAATGAATCACTCAACCCTTTATATTTAGTTAATACAGGGTTGCCCATATTCGACAGACCCATCTGGCAACGCCATAACTTTTGACAGAGATGTCGCATCGATTAATGACATACCGCTTTCGAAGCGTCAGTCCAAGCAGATTCTTACCATGTACCAATACACGCCACGCGAGCGCTCTGTAATAGTTCAAATTTACATTCAACAGAAGAAGTCAATTGTGAAAACTCAACGTGCTTTTAAAACATTAAAAAAATGTGAGAAGTGCGCCTTCTAAGAACACCATTAAGCGTTTATACGAAAAACTTTCGACTGGTAAGGCTCTTTCTAATCCGAAGAGGCCATATAAAAGTCGACCAAAGCGATCGGCAGAGAATATCGCTGCCGTACGAGCCAGTGTTGAGAGGTCCCCAAGAACATCCCAAAAACGCCGTTCTCAGCAGTTGGGCATGGCTCGGTCCACTTTACAACGGATTATTCGCATTGATTTGCATTTGTTCCCGTACAAAATTCAATTGACGCAAAGAATGTTGCCTGCGGACAAGCCTCGTCGATTGGAATGGACCGAAAGAGTCATCGAAATGGCCGAAGATGACGAGCAATTTTGGAACAAAATTATCATGTCCGATGAAGCCCATTTCACATTGAATGGGACCGTAAATAAGCTAAATTGCCGTTTTTACGCCACTGAAAATCATTAGGAGATTCAAGAAGTGCCTCTTCATGACGAAAAGGTCCCAGTTTGGTGCGGCGTTAGTGCGAAAACGGTCATTGGGCCGTTTTTCTTCCAAAATGAAAATGGCCATGCTGTTACCATCAATCAGGAGCGTTATCGCGACATGATGACCAATTTGTGATGCCAATTATTCGTCGAAAGCGTATGAGGCAGTTCTGGATTTTCTGAAGAATTTGTTTCCGGGCCGTTTGATGTCGAAAAGTGGTGATTTTGACTGGATTTGACGCCGCCTGACTTCTTCTTGAAGTCAAAGGTTTACATTAACAAGCCAAGGACCGTAGAAGAGCTCAAGGAAAACATTCGTGAAGAAATAGCCGCTATTCCGGCCGAAATGTTGGCAAAAACGATGGAAAATGCAGCAAAAAGGGCACAATACGACATCAACGCCAGAGGCGGCCATTTGAGAGATATCATATTCAAAAATTGATGTAAACAAATCTACTTGGAACAAATTAAATGATTAACATTGCCAACCGCCAATTTTTTATTTTTTTCTTTGATTTAAAAAAAAAAAACATGGGTCCGTCAAATATGGGCAACCCCAAGCCAAATTTAATTAATTTATCCCTTCAACAATTGCAGTGATTTCCACAGCCAAAATGTGTCTCATGGAAATAACAGTCTTAAGTCCTGGGTCTCTTTTGACGAAATCCGTCCTGCCGCTTGTATAGAGCATGCCTTTGAATGTGTGTTTTAGGAACATATTGAGAAAAAGGCAAGGATGAGGAACACAATTTTTACAAAATTGTTGAATTTTCCACTATTGAATTCTATTACACTATTATTATTTAAAGTGCGGGCCTGCAATTTAGAAGGTGATATATAGGGGGATATTTTGATTTTTAATTAAGTACTTACAAAATGTTTATTCAATAATTGCAAATACTAATATATGACCGATATAAACAGTTCTCTCCCAGGGGGTATAGTACCCACAAAGAACTTCATGTGTAGAATTTCAGACAATTCTATTAGAAAGTGTGGGCAAAATCATCAAAATATCTACTATACCGAGATCGCGTTATATGGGGGCTATACGATATAATAGGCCTATATAGACAACTATCTTTTGGGATGTAAAGTGCCTGAAAATAATTTAATGTGTGGATTTAAGTCAATTCCATAAAAAACCGTTGTTAAATTCGCAAAATACTGCAAATTGGGAGGTCCTAAACGATATCGTTGACCGATATAGCCCATCTTCGAACTTGACCTGCCTGCAGGCACACGACTATTCTTTTTTCGTTCGTTTCGAGTCTAAAATGATTATTTCTTTGAGTTACAAACGGAATGACAAACGTTATATGCCCTACATATTTTGTAAAAAAAATTGTGATGCCATACACCACTATGAATATTTAGTAGAGCTACACATAACAAATAATCGTTTATATCGGGTGAAACATACATATGGGACCTACAGGGTGAGATAAAAAAAAACTGCAACCAACTTTAGACTGCTGTCATTTCTAAGCCACTCGTCCGACAGCTGTTAAAATTATTCCAGGGACAGCTCATTATATTGTTCACAAGCGAATTTTCCAGAAAAAAAGTAATTCGTGATGAATTTCAAGCGTGATGGTGTGATTTATTTATATTTGGCAGGAAAACCACAAGTGGCAATCGTTGGAGCAGTCCAGGATTTAAATCTGAATAAAACTTTAGTGTCTCGTGCCATCGCTCGTTATCGTGATGCTGGTTGCGTAGCCCGATATCAAGGAAGTGGACGGAAGAAAACAGCAATATCAGCAGAAATGGTTCGAAAAGCCTCAGTGGCCGAAAAATGGCTCTTGAGTTGAATATATCGCAATAATCCATTCGGCAAATATTGAAAAATTTAAATTTCAAAAAGTGCAAGAACTTACACCGCAACAGAAAGAAAATAGACTCAAAAGAGGTAAAGAGTTGCTTCGCTTGGCCGAAAGTGGTGAACTGCCAAATTTGGTTTTCTCCGATGAGAAAAAGTTCGTTTCCAGCAGTTTGTAAACAAACAAAATGATCGTGTTTACTTGCCAAAGAGGTCAGCTGCAAATGTGCCACAATAACTCAAGCGCCGGCCACGGTGATGGTGTGGACAGTCATAACAGCCGATGGTCGCTCTCCGCTGTATACCTATATCTAAGCCGATTTTCATCAAATTTGGCACAGTTTCTTCCAGGATAAATTCGGTTATATGTACCAATTTCAATAATGTTTATCCTGTGAAATTTTACCTAAATGTGAACTGCATTTTGTTCGCAGAAATACATGGATCGACAGACGGATTGAAAACCATAAATCGACTCAGAATCTAATTCTTTGAAGATCATCAAAAGAAACTATAAGTCTATTACGTTTAAGAACTATGAAGTCAACTTCATTTTCAAAGTTGAACGGGTTTAACGACAAATAGGTGGGGACAATTATTTAATTTATGATATTAATACAGTTTTTAATTATTTTATTTTGCCCAGTTCTGGTTTGCGAACATAACCTTATTGTAGCATGAACATGTCGTAGGAAGTACTTACTTACCAAACTGTCCTTAGAATCAATAAATACGTTCAAAAAGGCAGTCAATAAATTTATAAACCACTAGAGTTGAACTTGTATTTAGTTTCGTCATACTTTTGTTTTGTTTGTCTGATAGTGGGATTGAACTGTCGGTCCTTTGCTATTTAGTCGGCACACTATGCACGATGGTTGGTATTGAATATGATATATATCGGTCTACGTTTTGGTATTCCCCCAATATAACGGTACCTTCCGAGATTCGGTATTTTGAATATTTTAGTCACATTTTTAATGATTTTTTTCCATAGTGGTGTTGAGTATCAGAAAGTCGGCACTGCCCGACTTTTGTCTTTCCTTACTGGTTTTCTATTTTTTTTATACCCTTAGCCATATGGCTAGAGCGGGTATATATCATTTGATATGGCCAAAACTTGTCTCATCGAAATAACGGCTTTAGACCCTAGGTCTCTTTGAACCAAATCCGTTTCAGGGTATTTGGAGTCGATCCAGCGACGTCCGTCCGTCTGTCTGTTTGGCTGGTGCGCACGATAACTCTCTTTGAACCAAAGTTGGTCAAAACTTAGTACATTGTAATATTATTGTCAAACTTAGATCGAGTTCGGAGATTGGCAAAATCGGTTCACTCCTTCTGGTACCTTCCCCACACTAATATGACGAAATTTTCAAATAAATATTTTAGTGTACAGAATGGGAAAGGATAATCCGATTTTGCTCTAACTTTGTAAATCCTACTATTTGCATCTGTGTTAGATCAGGTGCAAAATGGGCAATATCGGTTCACTCCATTAAGTACCTCCCCCACAAGGGATCAACATTTTGAATAATTATAACTTTTATAAAATGTGATGTAAAAGTCCGATTTGCTACAAATTACACACATCACAATATTTTTACTAACCCAAAGTCTGGTGTGAAGGCGGTCCACTCCTTCTGGTACCTTTCCCACAAAGGGTCAACATTTTGAATAACCAAAACGATCATAAAATCCGAAATAAACATCCGATTCTTATCATATTTCACACATCCATTTTGTCCTACTAACACAAGATCCTCTGTGAAGATGGAATATATTGGTCCATTCCCTCTGGTACCTCCCCCACAAAGGGTTAATATTTTGAATACCCATGAGGCTCATAAAACGCCAAATTAACATCCGATTCTATTCAAAATTAGCACATCTCAACATTTCTATCAACACAAGATCTGTTATAAAGATGATAGAGATCGGACCATTTCTTATAGTATATCCTCCACATAGGGTTTAAGATTTTGAAAAACCAAACGCTCACAGAAAGTTAAACAAGCTTTCAAATCTCTTTAAACTTCAGACATACATTGATTTTTGCAAAAAACAAGATCTGTTGTTAAGATGATATATATCTGCGAACCACTTGTGGAACCTCATCCACAAAGGGTTACAATTTTGAATACTTTTATCTGTCATTACATGCGAAAGAAGTCAGCGGTACTTTACAACTTCCTCTGTCTAAATATTTCTCTCAACCAGAAACCTGAGATGAATATGGAGTTAATAATTTCGCATCAACTTGTGTATAAGTGTTCGGTTTTCTTGTAATTTTGACATTTTGTCTCAACCACATTTTCGAAAATGTTACACACTGTGCTTTCGAAAGTTCTTTGTCGTCCCTCTAATATCTATCATCTAGATGTAAATTCTACATAAAGTGACAAATTACCCACCCATATTTTTTACTCGGTCTAATGCTATCAACAACATGTGATTTTGTAATTTTCGTTCTTCTTCTTTTTCTGTTTTCCTCACATTCATATGCAAAGGCATGCAACAGTTTGTTGGAACCTGATGACCACACTGGAGTTACCGTTACTGATGAATTATTGACACAAAGATTCCATTTAGCCATTGTTGATGGTGCATTTCCGGAGTGTGCTTTGGGCATCGTACATCGTTTGGGTCTGCCGTTCATGTTTATCAATACCGTCGGCTTCTATACAGGAAGTCTGGCAATGGCAGGAAATCCAATTGCGTATGCTGTAACGCCTCATGTCTTTACAGCACTAACGGAGACAATGAATCTATGGCAGCGTATAGAAAATTATGTGACACATCTATTAGCCGATTTATTGCACAAGGTAATGTATGATGAAGAGTATGTAAGTATGTTGAAGCACAGACAGTGATTCAAAGAAAACTACTACATTAACTGCACTTTTGTAACAAAACAATCGAGGTGTAGGAATTATAAAATTATCCAATTGCATTATACCCGACTTACAAATTGGGGGATGGTATTAGGTCAGTAGAACAAATCCCAAGGTTTTGTGACAAACTTGCATAAGCCTCTTTTTATACCACCTCAGGGTCTTTGTGCATTTGTTTGTAACAGGCAAAAGGAAACGAGGTAGACCCATAGTTCCTTTTGATGATCTGCATAGAATCACATTCTGAGTCGATTTATGCATGTCCGTCCGTGCGTCTGTCTGTCCATGTATTTCTGTACACAAAGTACAGTTCGCATTTATTGCCCTATCCAGATGACATTTTGCACAGATCATTTGCTTGGCCCAAGGACGAACCCTATTGAAATTGGAGATAATCGGTCAAAATTTAGATATAGCTCCCATATATATCTTCGTCCGATTTGTCTTTTATTGTGCATCAAACGTGTAATATCAGTCCGAATAGTATGGAATTTTGCACGTACGATCAGATTGGACCTGAAAATAAGTATGCCAAATTTGATCGATATCGGTTCAGATATAGCTATAGCTCCCATATATATTGTTCATCCGATTTGTTATTTTTGTCCTCCGCAGGCGTAATATGCACTCTGTAACAACAATATTTGGGGAAATATATGAAATACAGCTCAGAAATACATTTGCTAAATTTTATTGAGATCGGTTTAGATTTGGATATAGCTCCCATATATAATTTCGTCCGATTTACCTTTTATTGTGCACCAAACGTCTAATATTTGCCCAAATGGGATGAAATTCGGCACTTACGACCGAATTGAGTCTAGAAGCTAGTATGTCAAATTTGGTGAAGATCGGTTCAGATATAGCTTTAGCTCCCATATATACTGTTCATCCGATTTGTTATATTTGTTACCCACAGCCGTAATATGCACTCCGAAACAACGATATTCAGGGAAATATATCAAATACAGCTCAGAAATATCTTTGCCAAATTTTATCGAGATCGTTTCCGATTTGGATATAGCTCCCATATATATTTTTTATCCGATTTCAAATTAATTGTGCACCAAATGGGCAATACAAGTCCGAATTTAAAAGATACAAATGCTTCGGCATATTTGGTCCTTTGAACTTTAACTTATAATTATAATCATGGCGCGTATGATTGAATTCTCCCATTAAAACGTTTAAGTGTTATGCGGAGCTCTACTAAATTAGCAAAGTGGTGTAGGGTATCATAAAGTCGGCCCCGCCCGACTTTAAGACTTTCTTTACTGGTTTGGTATGTTCTCAGTCATAGAGCCTTATCTTAGTCTGAAAACTACGTTCTTCGGAAATTAAAACCGTTTAGAACTCTTAACAAAATCGACTGCTGACCTTTTGTCTAAGTCAGATTCAAATAACCCACTTTACGCCAAATTTCTACATGGAATTTAAAAACAACTTTTGGGCCAATGTAAATTTGCGTATGAATATCAAAAATTCTCTCGCTCTCTCTCTCTCTCCAGAAAATAGTCATTTCAAACATTGGCTGTTTATTAGTTCCATGTCGGCAAACATACAAACACATTTATACACACACACACACACATAAATCATCTCACATACATATTCACATATACATACATACAAACGTGTATGTACAACAAACATGTACTTGTAGCAAGGCAACCGTATCGAAATGAATTCATGTTCCTGCAAAGGCTACTTTGTTGGGCATCTTCTTAAATTGCTAGCCCAATTTCTCCATTCTATGGCTAGATAATAATAATTGAATGCTACAAACTTTTGAACCATGTACACATTCAAACAATTAAGCTGCAGCTGTTCAAATATTTAATATTGGACATTACATGAAATGTGCTGCTGCATAAATTATCGAATATAATATTGAAAGATTTATGGTACATGTTTGAATAGATTGAGAAATTTAATCGTTCTAGTTATTCTTGGGAAATCTTTTAGCATGAAAAAAAAATCTTTTGACCGAGCTGTTTTTGTAGAAAACATGTGTCTGCATTTGCTTGTCAATCTAATAGAAATATTTTTTTACAAAGGCTGTGTAGCTAAATCAATATCCACTTCTAAGCCACATAAAATATTCAGCAGATGTGTTTACAATGACAAATTAATTATGCCCTACAACACTATGTGTTGGGGGTATTATACGTTTGATTGGGCCAAAAATTATGTAACACCTCGAAATATTGATTTCCCACATAGGAAAGTATATATGGATCTTCCTATCTCGCCGAGCAGAGTCGATCTAGCTATGTATGTCCGTCCACCCGTCTGTCTCTCTGTACATGTTAATTTGTAATCACTCTACAGGTCGCAATTATAGCCCGATCTTCACGAAATTTAAAATGTAGGTGGGGTTACGGTCAGAATACAACCCTATTTCTTTTGAAGATGATCGCATAATATTTAGGGGTTGAAATGAACCAAAAACTGAAAAAATCCTGATTTTGCAGTTGCTCTACAGGTCACAATTATAGACCAATCAAAGCGAAAGTTAGCATGGGGCTAGAGCTCTGGGCTGGGCAGAAGACTCCAATTTCATCGGGTAATATTTAGTGGTTGAAATAGACCATAGCATTTATGATAAATAAAAGTCAAATTTTCCATTAAACCGCGAATATTTTTAATGGCGGCGAAATCATAAATAGACGAACAGGTCAATTCTGACCGTTACGTAGATGCCGATAGTAAAAATATCGGATATATAGCGAAATATATACAATGTATATACACAAAGGAAGGGGATGTTAGTTAGAATGCTTATATCTCCAGAATGGCTGGAGCGATTTTGACAAATTTTGTATATTTAGAATGCCCTTTTGGCATAAAAGTATAAAATCTAAAAAATCGCATAAAAATATGCCAAAAACGATGTTAATATAGGTTTGTTATATCTTGTGACATTTTTTTATTTTTTCATATTTTTTATCGCATACGATTTTTTCAATTTAACTTATAATATTGAAGTGTATATTTTGTAATATTTTTGCACTTTACAACACAGGTTGGGGTTATTATCTACAGATTGCAATTATCGTCTGATCCTCACGAAAATTTTCACAAGGGTAGGATTAGGCTCAGAAGGGCTAGATCTATCGTTTTCAAAGATGTCCGCAATATATTTAGAGGTTGAAATGGACTAACAATAAACATATTCTTGATTTTGCAGCCGTTATAAAGGTCAAAAGTAGAAACCAAAAGACACGAAATCTCGCATGAAGTTAGAGTTAGGATAGAGGATACAATGGACCACTACTTTTCTGTGAAAAAATACCAACACTACTTATAGGCAATATTCGAAATACACAAAAGGCGAACTTCTGGTTTTTTATGCTGATTTCGTGGATGGATATAGCCTATCACATTGTGGTGTTCTAGGGTATCAGATAGTCGGCCCCGCGTGACTTTAGCCTTTGCTTACTTGAATTTGTGTGCATTTTTAATGTGTGAAGAAATTAAGCATATTTATTGAACCTATTTTTATATTCCTATCCGACTGCAACTGAATTTAATGAATTCCTTATATATCAATTATTATATATTTCGAATGAAAATATCTGCATTCATTTCCGAGCCATTCATTCATTTTCGAACCATTTCCGAATGAAAACCTCTAAAGAAAGAACAAAATTAGGGCGGGATCGATTTTATGAACCCTTCACCACTATACATATTCAGTACATTGGGAAATTGTGTGAAATAGACCATACCAACTATGATCGTTTTAAATTGCGTGTTAGGGCTTTAGTGCGGTTTGAATTAGAAAATACCGGATAAAGGATAAAGATATAGATACCTATATATGTGGGCTAAACGATGCTGTGACCTGCTCAATAATTTTCTGGCATAGGTTGTAGTACTCATTACGAACTTCAAACTTTAAATACGGAACTTGAAACAGTTCCGGTCAAAAATATCGTTACAATCATAAAAATGCCGAATATCGGAGGGGATCTATATAAAAAATTCTATTGCAGGGGATAAAGTACCCAGAAGGAACTCTTCGTGTGAATTTTTAGACAATTATATTGAAAACCAGTAAAGAAAGTCCTAAAGTCGGGCGGGGCCGACTTTTTGATACCCTACACCACTTTGCAAACTTAGTAGAGCTCCACATAACAATTAAACGTTTTTATGGGAAAATTCAATCATACACGCTATGATTATAATTATAATTTAAAGTTCCAAGGTTTAAATATGCCGAAGCATTTGTATCTTTTAAATTCGGACTTGTATTGCACATTTGGTTCAAAATTAATTTGAAATCAGATAAAGCTATATCTGAACCGATTTCGATCAAATTTGGCATACTTATTTTCAGGCCTAATTTGATATATTTCCCTGAATATCGTTGTTACGGAGTGCATATTACGGCTGTGGGTAACAAATACAACAAATCGGATGAACAATATATATGGGAACTATAGTTATATCTTAACCGATATTCACCAAATTTGACATACTAGCTTCTATTATTATATTAGACGTTTGGTGCACAATAAAAGGTAAACCGGACGAACTTATATATGGGAGATATATCCAAATCTGAACCGATCTCGATAAAATATAGCAAATGTATTTCTGAGCTGTATTTGATAAATTTCTCCAAATATTGTTGTTACAGAGTTCATATTACGGCTGCGGAGGACAAAAATAACAAATCGGATGAACAATATATATGGGAGCTATAGCTATATCTGAACCGATTTCGATCAAATTTGGCTTACTTATTTTCAGGCCTAATTTGGTTGTATGTGCAAAATTTCATACTATTCGGGCTGATATTACACGTTTGGTGCACAATAAAAGGCAAATCGGACGCAGATATATATGGGAGCTATATCTAAATTTTTACCGATTATCAATTCAATTTCAATAGGGTTCGTCCATGGGCTAAACAAATGATTTTCATCTGGATAGGGCAATAAATGCGAACTGTACTTTGTTTACAAAAATACATGGACAGACGGACGGACGGACGGACGGACGGACGGACGGACGGACGGACGGATGGGCGGACAGACGGACGGACGCACATGCATAAATCGACTCAGAATGTGATTCTAGGCAGATCATCAAAAGGAACTATGGGTCTATCTCATTTCCTTTTGCCTGTTACAAACAAATGCACAAAGACATAATACCCTGACCACCTTGTGGTGTAGGGTATACTATGGTACAATCATAGAAGTACCGAATTTTGGGATTCCTTGTGTGAAATTTCAGACTATTCCATTGAAAAAATGAGGCTACAATCATCAAAGTACCGAATATCGGGAGGTACCGTTATGTGGGGGACATAATATATCGTGCCCCGATATAGCCCATCTACGAATCTGACCTGTTAGGTCTAAAATTATTATTTCGATGAATAACAAACGGAATGACGACCTTAAAGTAGTCCTTAATATTCGCATAAAAACCGTACATCTGTTCTTAATTTATGCAAACGTCATAATTGAATTAAATGAATGAATGAATTAAAGCAAAGAATGTCAGAAAATAGCATCAAATTTTAGAATATGCATAGATTTGTTCGAATTGGTCACCTTTGGCACGAATTATGGCCTTCAAACGGCCAATGAAACCGTCACAGGCTGCCCAAATGTTGTTCTGCGGTATTTTGGTCCATTTCCGGCGAAGCGCTTGATTGAGGTGATTAACACTTTGGTATTTTTTAGAACCAACCATGCTTTCCAAAATACTCCAGACACAATAGTCCAACGGATTGGTATCCGGAGATTTTGGTGGCCAGGAACCTTATTTTGTAACCATTCTTGGGTGGCGCGTGCTGAGTGCGATCGTGCTGAGTCCTGTTGGAATGTTTAAGTTCTGTGGCCAAAATATATGCATGCCCAAGGCTCCACTCCACACTCCAGCATATTTTCGCGATAATATTCGGCATTTATTCTAATGTCACGGTCGATTAATACGATCGGAGAGCGACCATCGGCTGTTATGGCGGTCCACACCATCACCATGGCCGGCGCTTGAGTTCTGGTGGCCAACCGAAGGTGCACATTTTCAACTGACCTATTTGGCAAGTAAACACGATCATTTTGTTTGTTTTCAAACTGCTAGACAACGAATGTTTTCTCATCGGAGAAAACCGAATTCGGCAGTTCACCACTTTCGGCCAAGAGGAGCAATTCTTTAGCTCTTTTGAGTCTATTTTTTCTGTTGCCGTGTAAGTTCTTGTACTTTTTGGAATTTCAATGGCTTTACCCCGAGCTCGTTTTTCAGCATTTGCCGAATGGAATATTGCAATATGTTCAGCTCACGAGCCATTTTTCGGCAAAAGCGATCAAGTCGCTTCTTTAATTTTCGAACCATTTCTGCTGATGTTGCTATTTTCTTCCGTCCACTTCCTTAACTTCGGGCTAAGTTACCAGTATCACGGTAACGAGCGATGGTACGAGACACGAAAGATTTATTCAAATTTAAGTGCTGGAGTACTCTAACGATTGCCACTTTTGGTTTCCAGCTAAATATTAAGAAATCACACTATTACAATTGAATTCCATCACAAATAAGTTATTTTCTAGAAAATTCTCAACAAAATGTTTTTTTACGATTGCAAACAACATAATGAGCTGTCACTGGAATAATTTTAACAGATCTCGGACGAGTGGCTGCGGTCTGAAGTTGGTTGCAGTTTTTTAATCTCACCCTGTATATATACATTCTGTATATCAATGTCCTTATAAGACATTTAATTTCTTCATACCATTAATTTGCAAATTCTAATGTTTCAAAAGGATCCAATTTAAATACTGTACTCAAGTCGCATATGAATTGCTGCAACTCATAGCAATAAAGCAAAATGGACAGGTACATTTTGCTTTATGACCGCAGAGGAATTTAGTTGTATCAGAGTGTGTTCGAAGTATGCCAAAAAGCATAAACATTGTCAATTCGGCATGGAGAGGTTGTGCTCACTAGTTTCATAATATCAATTTGACAATAGAATACCTAACTATTCCTGATTTTCCCCTTTTTTCATTGCATGTTTTCTGCGTATTGTGTACCGGTGCGGCTACAGTATTATACCAATCAAGTGCATGGAGTTCTAATTCAACACTTTGGCGCCAGTATACCGCATCCTTATGCATTGATGCGCAACGTTTCCATCATACTGCAGAATGGCCATGCCAGCATCACCTATGCCCGGCCTTTCTATCCGAACGTTATCGAAATTGCTTGTCTACACTGCAGACCCGCTGGCAAATTACCGCAAGACCTGGAGCAGTTCATGGAATCAGCTCCGGCGGGTGTGATATTTTTCTCAATGGGCTCGTCGGTGAAGGCAGCAAACATGCCCGAAGAGTTCCGTCGCATGCTCGTCGAGGTATTTTCGCGTTTACCACAATACCATGTTCTTTGGAAGTGGGATGGCAATGCCACCGCGACCGGTATCCATGCGAGAGAGGCCATATTGCCCAATGGGCCACATCAACATATGAGAGGCATCAGCAGGAATGTTCGTTTGAGTGGTTGGTTGCCGCAACAGGACATATTAGGCCACCGGAAGTTGATGGCTTTCGTCACACATGGCGGTCTGCTTAGCATGTATGAAGCCATTTATCATGCGGTGCCCATGGTTATGCTGCCCGTTTTCTGTGACCACGACGTAAATGCAGTCAAAGCCGAATCGGATGGCTATGCCGTACGTTTACCGCTTGAAACGATAACGGCAGATAAACTCTACCACACCATAATGGCCATTATAAACAATGGCAAATACAAAAGAAAAATCCATGAGAAAAGTCAATTGTTATTGGATCAAATGTCAAAGCCGATTGACACGGCAATTTATTGGACAGAATATGTGATGAAGCACAAGGATGTGTCACACTTACAGTCACCAGTGCGGAATATGAGGTTTGTTTACCACTCACATCGACATAGATACGGCTATAATCTAATGGATTTTATTTACAGTTTTTTCATATACCATTCACTGGATGTTATTTGTGTTTTTATGCTAATCGTTGGCGGTATGCTCATAATTTGGCAACAAATATTGAAATATGCCCTGAGAAATAGAACGCAGCAGAGAGTGGAAGAAAGAACGCAGCGATTCAAGATTTTGAAGCAGTGCTAAATATTAAAACAAATGTGTTCACAATAAGACAGGCCAAAATATTTGTAAATATTCTTAGACTTATATTATATATTATACCCCAATGTTCAATAATTTAAGGTTAATAATACAGTTTTGGAAAAAAACATTGTTTTATTTTTAACAAAGGAGCTAATAGATATTTCTAGTGCTTAAGTGCTTAAATACGCAAATTTGGTGTTGAAAGTAGTGGCAAAATTTCAATTCAATCCAATCAAATGTATAAACCTCAAAATTTTTAATCTATATCTATAAGAGAGGAAAATTATTATAAGTTTGATTGTTTGTAATTTAGGAACTCGAAAATTTTCGAAATTCCACTTGGAACTTAAGATGTAGCATCAGAATCGAAGATCTATTGATCGATTATAGATAGAGTCTCCAAATTTGGAATGTGTAACAAAATTTGAAACAAATAATAAATTTTCCAAATTATATTGAAAAGGGTTCAGATTTGATTATATAGCTCCTATATATTTTATGCATCAAACACGCTGTGTATATCAAATTTCAATGAAAATTGCAATGTGTGATAAAATTTGCCTAAAAAATTTATTAGTCAAATTATATTGAAATCGATTCAGATTTCGATATAGCTCCTATATACAATTTCGGCATGCATTTCATGCACCAAACACCCTATGTATATCTAATTTCAATAAAATTTGGAATGTGTAACGGAATTCGGAATTAAACAAAAAAATTATTTGCCAAATTATATTGAAATCGGTTCAGATTTGGATATAGCTCACATAAATATTCTCGACCGACTTAATTTATTTTATGCACTAAATACGATATGTAAGACAGATTCCAATGAAATTTGGAATAAGTGACATAATTTCGAACAAATATAAATTTGTAAAATTTTGTTGAAATCGGTTGATGTTTGGATCTAGGTCTCATATATATATTTTCGGCCATTTTTATGTATTCCGTAGAAAAATGCCTCTCAAATTAAACCCCTTATATGGAGGCTATACGAAGACGTGGTCCTTCATAAGTAATTGTCATATGCTGTAGCACCGAACCCGAACTTTAAACATCAAATGTTTAACATCTCCGGTGAATGATACCACTAAAATCATCAAAATAAGGAATATCGGGAGGTATCACTGTACGGGGCGAGGTAAAAAAAACTGCAACAAAGTCAAACGCCATAATTTTTACATTTTTTTAATTTTATTGAATGAAAGCCAAAAATGTCGAAAATGGCATCAAATTTTAGAATAAGTTTAGATTTGTTCGAATTGGTCACCTTTGGCACGAATTATGGCCTTCAAACGGCAATTGAAACCGTCACACGCTCCTTGAATGTTGCTCTGCGGTATTTAGACCCCATTTGGTGGCCATTTTGCGCTGGAAATGAAGCGAGGAACCTCATTTTGTAACCATTCTTGGGTGACGCATGCTGAGTGCGATGGTGCTGAGTCCTGTTGGAATGTCCAAGGTCTGCGGCCAAAATGTTTGCGTGCCCAAGGCTTTACTACACTTTCCAGAATATTTTCGCGATAATATTCGGCATTTATTCTGATGGCACGGTCGAATAATACGAGCGAAGAGCGAACATCGGCTGCTATGGCGGCCCACATCATCACCATGGCCGGCGCTTGAGTTCTGGTGGCCAACCGCAGGTGCACATTTTCAGCTGACCTCTTTGGCAAGTAAACACGCTCATTTTGTTTATTTACAAACTGCTAGACAACGAATGTTTTCCATTGGAGAAAACCATATTCGGCAGTTCACCACTTTCGGCCAAGCGAAGCAATTCTTTAGCTCTTTTGAGTCTATTTTCTTTCTGTTGCGATTTAAGTTATTGCAATTTTTGAAATTTCATTGGCTTTACCCCGAGCTTATTTTGCAATATTTGCCGAATGAAATATTGTGATATGTTCAGCTCACGAGCTATTTTTCGGCCACTGCGACGTGGGTTTCGATCAAGTCGCTTCTTTACTTTTCGAACCATTTCTGCTGATGTTGCTGTTTTCTTCCGTCCACTTCCTTGACGTCGGGCTACGCTACCGGTATCACGGTAACGAGCGATGGTACGAGACACAAAAGATTTATTCAAATTTAAATGCTGGAGTGCTCTAATTATAGCCACTTGCTGTTTTCCAGCCAAATATAAAGAAATCACAATATCACACTTAAATTCCATCACGAATAACATTTTTTCTGGAAAATTCTTATCAAAATGCTTTTGTACACTTGTATACAATATAATGAGCTGTCACTGGAATAATTTTAACAGCTGTCGGACGGATGGCTTAGGAATGATAGAAGTCTGAAGCTGATTGTAGTTTTTTTTATCTCACCCTGTCCTGTCCTATTATTTAAGTCCTCCACACCAGTAAAATGTGCTCGTCAAAAATATTTGGTATCTGATATCAGATATCAACAAGTAAAAAAGCAGTAAGTTCGGCCGGGCCGAGCTTTGAATACCCTCCACCATTTGGAACGAATTAGAAAATTTTCAAAAAAAAAAAAACAAGTAAAAAAGCAGTAAGATCGGCCGGGCCGAACTTTGAATACCCTCCACCATTTGGAATTAGAAAATTTTCAAAAAAAAATCCAATAAAAATTCTTTTAAAATCTTTAAAATATCTAATATAGGAAGGTGCCGATATATGGGGGGATATACGATATTGTGGACCTATAAAGACAAATCTATGTCTGCGTGTAAAGTACTCACAAGGAACTCCATGTGTGGATTTTCAGGCAATACGATTGGAAAATGTGGCTAAAATCATCAAAATACCGAATATCGCAGGGTACCGTTATATGGGAGCTATACGTTATCGCTAACCTATATAGAGAATTCTCTGTCGGTGGGTAAAGTGCTCACAAAGAACCCCTTGTGTACAAAGAACCCCTTGTGACCATTCCGTTGAAAAATATGGCTAAAAACATCAAAATACCGAATATCGGGGGTACCGTTATATGAGGGCTATACAATATCGTGGATCTATATAGATAATTCTCTGCCGAGGTATAAAGTACCCACAAGGAACTCCTTGTGTGGATTTTCAAACAATTCCGTTGAAAAATGTGGGTCAAATCATAAAATACCGAATATCGGGGGGTACCGTTATATGGGGGATATACGATATCGTGGACCTGTATAGACAATTCTCTCTCAGGGGGTGAAGTACTCACAAGGAACTACTTGTGTTGATTTTAAGACAATTCCATTGAAAAGCGTGGCTAACATCATCAATATACCGAACATCGGAGGTTACAGTTATATGGGGGATATACGATATCGTGGACCTATATAGACACTTCATTTTGAGGCGGTAAAATGCCCACAAGGGACTCCTTTTGTGGATTTTCAGACAATTCCGTTGACAAATGTGGGTAAAATCATCAAAATACCAAATATCGGGGGTACCGTTATATGGGGGCTATACGATATTGTCGACCTATATAGATAATTCTCTGCCGAGGTATAAAGTACCCACAAGGAACTCCTTGTGTGGATTTTCAGACAATTCCGTTGAAAAATGTGGGTAAAATCATCAAAATACCGAATATCGGGGGGTACCGTTATATGGGGGCTATACGATATTGTGGACCTATATAGATAATTCTCTGCCGAGGTATACCGAATATCGGGGGGTACCGTTATATGGGGGCTATACGATATTGTGGACCTATAAATAATTCTCTGCCGAGGTATAAAGTACCCACAAGGAACTCCTTGTGTGGATTTTCAGACAATTCCGTTCAAAAATGTGGGTAAAATCATCAAAATACCGAATATCGGGGGGTACCGTTACATGGGGGCTATACGATATTGTGGACCTATATAGATAATTCTCCGCCGAGGTATAAAGTACCCACAAGGAACTCCTTGTGTGAATTTTCAGACAATTCCGTTGAAAAATGTGGGTAAAATCATCAAAATACCGAATATCGGGGGGTACCGCTACATGGGGGCTATACGATATCGTGGACCTATATGGACAATTCTCTGCCGAGGTATAAAGTACACACAAGGAACTCCTTGTGTGGATTTTCAGACAATTCCGTTGAAAAATGTGGGTAAAATCATCAAAATACCGAATATCGGGGGGTACCGTTATATGGGGGCTATACGATATTGTGGACCTATATAGATAATTCTCCGCCGAGGTATAAAGTACCCACGAGGAACTCCTTGTGTGGATTTTCAGACAATTCCGTTGAAAAATGTGGGTAAAATCATCAAAATACCGAATATCGGGGGGTACCGTTACATGGGCGCTATACGATATCGTGGACCTATATGGACAATTCTCTGCCGAGTTATAAAGTACCCATAAGGAACTCCTTGTATGGATTTTCAGACAATTCCGTGGAAAAATGTGGGTAAAATCATCAAAATACCGAATATCGGGGGGTACCGTTACATGGGGGCTATACGATATCGTGGACCTATATGAACAATTCTCTGCCGAGGTATAAAGTACCCACGAGGAACTCCTTGTGTGGATTTTCAGACAATTCCGTTGAAAAAATGTGGGTAAAATCATCAAAATACCGAATATAGGGGGGTACCGTTACATGGGGGATATACGATATCGTGGACCTATATGGACAATTCTCTGCCGAGTTATAAAGTACCCATAAGGAACTCCTTGTGTGGATTTTCAGACAATTCCGTCGAAAAATGTGGGTAAAATCATCAAAATACCGAATATCGGGGGGTACCGTTATATGGGGGCTATACGATATCGTCTACCGATATAGCCCATCTTCGAACTTGACCTGCCTGCAGACAAAAGAGAGATCTGTGCAAAATTTTAGCTTCCTATCTTAATTCGTTTAGACTGTAGCGTGATTACAACAACCTCCGATATTCGGTATTTTGATGATTTTACCCACATTTGTCAACGGAATTGTCTGAAAATCCACACAAGAAGTTCCTTGTGGGTACTTTATACATCGGCAGAGAATTATCTATATAGGTCCACAATATCGTATAGCCCCCATATAACGGTACCCCCCGATATTCGGTATTTTGATGATT